CCAAACACCCCCAAACATAATCACACAAACTAAGTATGAGACAAATGTGCTTTCCCTTCATCTTTGTTTTCCCATGCTGTAAATATCTATAATTTTAAACAGGTATTTTTTCTCTCTATGAGCTCCCTACAAAAAAAACCCACAATAAAATACATTGATCTCACAGCCGTCCATTGGCTCAAAATGGGGGGTTGCTGACCTGCCTTTTAAATGCATTTGTCTCCCTCTCTCAAATGCGCCCTTTCAACATGACAAGAGTCTCCAACCCCCACCTTTAGAGGAAATGACCGCTCGTGCGCGCCAGGAGAAAAAGAAATTCCGTGATAGAAAGCAAAAGAATGTGGAAATCTGTGAACTTCCACGCCACTGGGAAGTGAAAGACCAGGGCACGAGTAACAACCTCAACACTTTTCCACTTCCAACACACATGTTCTAATGTAATTTATTCTAAATTATTGGTAAAAATAAGTAGGTCCAAAACTCGCACGAACTGGTCTAGTAATTAGCCATGCCACTTACGAGAGTTGTCTGTTATCATGTTTTTTTCAACACTCACCTTGTTTCGGCCAACTTCAGAGAAGACCGATATTTTTGAAAATGAAAAACGTCTTCAACTCGACTAAATAGAAACACAGTTGTGTCTGACTTAGAAAGTTGCCCTTTTCCTTTGTTGCGCTGGGTGTTAGGAGGGATGGGGGTTGCCCTGCAAGTGCTACGCTCCGTCGACACTGGGTCGTTCACCAGCTCGCTCTATTTTCTCTGATTGGGCGTGGCTAGCATTTGATGACGACATCTGTTGCCGTGATACCCACCACAATGAGATTTTCCTTTTTATTTTTAAAAAACCTAAATGCCACTTTTTGTTGGCATTATGGGAGGGATTATATTCATATATAAATTTTAAAAATCTGTATGCCTGAAATAAAATGTTCCTTTTTCCTTATCAAGGTATTTTTTAGGAATGTTGAATGAAAATTAGATAAATTAAGGCACTTTCCTTGAATTAAAAAGCTACATTTACTTATAGAATTCAGTTCAATAAATAAAATATATATATATATGTAGATACCAAAGCTAACATGTATTCCCATTTCATTGCTTTATAATTTGTAGGTTAAAGTAAAATGTTTAGAGACTATATTTTGGACTAGAACAGCTGATGTCCATGGAGTTTCCACTGTGGTGTTGTTAGAGGGATGGTAAAAGTCAACCACATTGACCTTTCTTCAGGGATAATGTTGTGAAATGGTGGCCTCTTGTCAAAGTCATGAAAGGAAACCCATATCGAACATATAAGCTTAAAAAAACAACTTCATCATCTTCGTATGTTTTGAAGGCAAACAAGTTCTGGTTCTCCGCTAAAGAACAAAACTCAACAGCTTCAAATATGTGAATGAGCTGGCATGTAACATCATGATTTGCAAAGCAAATTGTGAAAACAAAAATAGCTTCAAACCATCCCAAAGTATCTTGTAAAACTATTTTAAAAGGAAGCAACGTTAACTCATTTAACTCAGAAAAAAGGTTAGAAATTGAGAATTCATTTTAATTAAAAAGCAAGACTCTCACAGTCAGCTTCTGTCTGTGTTGTCATTTGTCTTTCAACAGTTTTTGCTAACAATTTGAAAAATCTTCATGGCGAATTTTTTTCTTCTTGCCATAAAAAAAGACTGTCCCAAGTAAAATGTTTACCTGCACTTTTGAGCACTACAGTTAAAATTGTAGTATTCATCCGCATACATTGGTCAAATCCTGCTCCGTGGCTATTTTTCCAGATCTATTTTAAATTAATTGTTGCAATGCAAGTTGGCTTATAGATGACAGATGGGAGATCTTGTTTCAAACTGTCTTAACTTGTGTGTCTTGGTGCATACAGGATTGGAATGGATGAGGGGCTTCTCTTCTACTTGTGCCATAAACCTATTGGAATGCATGCCTTCAGACCTATATACTTCAAAAAGTGTTTCATTCTGCATTTTGCAAAGTACAGCCCCACATATAAAAATCAAGTTTGGCTTTTGTTTTTCTTTTAGGGACATTCCCCAATCCACAGAACCAGCATTTTGAAAAGGAATAGGCCCTTTAAACGTATTTTTTTCTAAAATTTCATGCAAATCGATAGCATGTGCTAACAATGCTTGGCAACTATATGAGGTTGTATCAGCTCCTTGACACTCATCTTACATTGTTTTCCCGGCAGAGCACTTTCCTCTCAGACTGCAGCCCTACTTGTGGTTCCTGGAGTTAATCAATCTAGAATGGGATGCCGAGCCCCAGTTATCATGTCCCTGTGTTTTAGAGCCAGCTCCCAGTATACGTTCAGAAAGCAGATACCCATCTACCTTAAAAATTGTGGTTTTGACATTGCGTTTTGGTTATAAGTTTTTAACCAAGGATGGGTAGGGTGACCCTGAAATATTCCATCGTGACAAACTGTGCAAGAGGACCACCTGTGAAGCATCTCTTGCCACAAACATTGTTACAATGACTAACTTCTAACTTCTGTGCTTCTGCTTCACAGCAGGTATCCCTGGTCTTTTTTCTTATTTGCTCTTAAAAAAAATCAAGTTGAAGCAGATGGCCAGCTTCCCTGAATGTGGTGTAGCCAGTTTCTTCCTGTTAAAGGACTGTTTTTTTCCTTTCCACTGTCTCTTTATGGATATTTAGAATGCAGAATTAGATTGATGCATCAAAGCTTAGACACAACCTTTTTGTTTCCTTAGTTTTACAACTTTTCCTTAAACTAGCTAAGTAAGAATGAGACTAAGTCTTAGATTTGACTGGATTATGATTGGACTGTCATGAACTGAATCAGGGCAACAGGTGCCAACCACCCCATCACTTTTGGTGTTTTACAAGGTTGCTCACAGCAAGATGGTTCCTGGTTTGAACACCAGATGGGACATGCCTGAAATGTAGAAATTGATGATGTGATGAGATTTTGGGTTAATTCGGTCTGCAATGGAAAAAACAGTCTGAATAAGTGGAAGAAAAATTTTATTTGAAAAAAATCAGTGATTGGTAGACTCAGAGACACACACATTGGTTAACAAAAGCTGCCATAACATTCTCTTTTGGTGGCACAAACTTATCTAAATGACACTGGAAGCCAGATTTTTTAAATTTTAAATATTTTAATCTCTCTTTCTCAAATCTTAACAAAATTCACAGAAGCGCAACACTGAGTCACAGCCTGTTGAAATCCTGATAATAATGGAAATGAAAACAAAGGACACATAAGAGGGCAGTCAGAGAGAAAATATGGGGACAGCGTCAAACAGACTAAGAGCAGAAGCAGTTAAACCAACCCGGTTTTACACTCAGTCAAATCAAGCTCAGTAATTGCATAAACAATGTCTGAGAAGTACTTTTGAGTCACCTTCCCACAGCAGGACGAGTGAAAACTGTTCACATTTTAACAAGAAATGCACCTTCTTTTTCCCAACAGTCAACCATAACCTTCCCCAGTGCTGGGTTAAATATAAAATCTATGCTTTGCTTACTAATACATTGGACCAGGTATGTAAAAATCAAACAAAAATGCAATAAACTGGAAAAAAAAGTTGTTTTTTTTCTTACAGTGTTACTGACAACGTTTATCGACCAACATTTGGCACTAACAGGTGCTTATTTCAGACCCTGTTGGACTATGTAGACACACACACACACACACCTGCATGTACGCAGGCACATACGGTGGAGGATGTTTGTGTTTTTGGAACATTACTTGCTTTCAATCTCCTCACTGGACTGGAATAAAAACCTAATCAGGGCCGTATTTTAAAATCTGGACAAAGTAGAATTTCTCTACATTAGCAGCAATGTTACCTATAGAAATATATATATTAAAAAAAGCTATTTGAAGCCATTTATATTTTAAAAACTCTAAAAGAATGATCCTCCCTTTTCAGTTGGATGAACTATATACAGGGAACTTTTGTTAACAATGCAAATTGACAATTTTTCATCATATTTTGGGACTTTCAAAAAGCAATGTGAGATATTTTGTGTAATGCCTTTTGTTTCATTTGCTATCCTTAAACTGAAACTGACATACAAACAGGAGAAAGTGTTCAGAGGATAAATTTAAACCCCTACTGAACTCAAAACCCGCCTACATTCTCAAACTTCCCTGTCTAATTAGATTTAGACTAATTTTGGTTAACTAACTTATATACTCATCCCAGGTCGTTTCTAGTTGATGTATTCTTTAGTGTTTATCTTACAAAACTGAGCTAAATTTGGACTGATTTTAGGTTCAATTAAAAAAAAAAAAGAAAAAAGGAAGGACAACAGGATGGGATCTCCCAACTAGGCCTACTAACAGCAAAGAATAGACATAGATATTGAATAAATGTATATATTAACTCAGTATATATAATATACAAATAGTTTACACAATCTCTGACAGTGGGTGACAGGATGAGAGACAAAAAAGGCAGGGTTGAGCCTTTAGTCTCTATACAGCTCCTGGGGTGTGCGTTACCCTTTTTGCACCAAAACTTCATTCTGTGCTTACCTTATTCTGTGTGTGTGAGGACACACGTGAAGCTGTCTGCCCTGAAAGCAACACATCCCGGAAGCGGGATGACTGGGCGTGCACAGGAAGATAAACTATGCAATAACAGTTTAAATACATAGAGCTTAACAGTGTTGGAAGTGAATAACTAGAAAAATCATGTTTTTTTTATTTATTTTCCTATTCGTCTTGTATCACACCACATGTACGTCACAGTTTTGATTATGTTGCAAAGCAACCACCCTGTTTATGTTATCCCAATCCTGTGACAGCTGAGCCAAATAAGTACTGAATCGAACGCTGAACAAGACTGAGAATGCTGTGAGTGTGCATGGACGCCTTGGTTCTGTACAGGGGAAGACTAATGGGGATCAAAAAATGTTGAGTTCCTGGAAGTAGAAAAAAGAAACAGAAAAAAATCAACGGGGAGCGGGAAACGGAAGAAAAAAGCTGACCCTTCTTGTCAGGAGCCTCACTCACTATGCTGCGTCACATGGTTCTGCTGTACTGTATGCCCGTCTTGGAGGCGATGTTGGACCACGGGAGGAAGGAGCGCAGCAAGGACTGGGCCTGGCGGTACAGCCTCTGGGGGATGGAGCAGGGTCTCAAGCTGGCCAGGGTCGAGCCGATATGCTGGATGTAGTCAGTGAAGCGGGAGGTTAAAGAAAACAGAAGAAAAAAAAAAACATACCTACGCTGGCATTCGACTCGTTCGTCTGACGTGCCTTTAAAAACAAGCGAGTGGCTTCTTCTGCTTTTTACAAAAGGATATAATAAGGTCCAGGGTGGATGACCTCCATTGATGTAGAGAACATATGTGAACCCATCTTTGAGGACCCCTCTTATGGAGTAGTAGTAGGGCAGGTAGTGGTGCTGCCTGAAGTCCCTGTTCTCATAGAAGTGGATGGCAGTGTTGTTGGTGGTGAGGACGTGCAGGTAGATGGCCTTACAGTGGTCCTGGGCGGTCGTCGAGATGTGCTCCTTCAGACTGTCCAGCAGTAGGGAGCCTGAATGGTTGGAGGGAGTTAAAAGAGATGAGAGATGGTGGAGCAGTTTGTTGTGATTTAGAAAAAATTCAACTGTATGCTTTCCCCCCCATATCTTAAGCACTCTTTCAGCATGCCAGCATCTCTACGTGACAAATGGGAATGGAATCATTAACAAGGGTAAGAAAAAAAAAGACAATAAAACACACTAATTGCTCCCTTCCATTGTTTGAATAGTGCCCGATTTCCCTATTTACTTTTACATTTATAAGTCTCTTCATAGCACACAGAAATAAGCTTCACAGCCACTCCCCACCAGGATCCTAGAACTGATTCCTCCAGAAGAAAAGGTCTTCTTTCTGAGCATGTCGGAGATGCTGTGCATCCGGAAAGCACAACACCCGAGTTGTACTTTTAACAGTTGAGTTTGTTTGTCATTTGTCTTGTGAAGGGTGTGTGTATTAGAGAGACATGAGCGGTACCTATTCCATGTTTCCTGAACTCTTTGACCACTCCCAGGCTAAGGATGTAGGCTACCTGTGTGTCCACAGGGAAGCTGGAGGCCAGGATGTCTCCATCCTGAAAAAAAAGAAAGATAACAGTTCAGTGAATGTGAAATACACCATTTTGCTGTAATCTAAACATCACATCAAAAACAAATCGTAAATGGGTCTCGTGATTTCGCCTCGTCTGTTGGACAGGGCCACAAAGAACGCAAATTCAAAAATGCTAATCTTGCCCTGAAGGGATATGACTGAGTCTTAAACGAACTGAGGCCTTAAATGACAGACGAAAATCTCAGTTCCAAAAAATGTATTGCAGGTATTCCATAGCTGTACCAGTAGAACTTATTTTATTGCTCCAATCACATTTCCTACCTCTCAGCACAAATAGGTAACACTTTTTCAGCAAGTATCTTCCCCATCCTGTCCTGCCTTATATTGTATTACAGGATGACTCTACCTCAGTCAGGGGCCTCTTGATTGTCTAATTAACACGTTAAAAACAGAGCTCGGCATGTTGGTGATCTACTTCTGACATTTCAAACTGGCAGCATGTTCAGAGAGACCGAGATCGTGGAATGCCTTTTGGCCTGGTGTTTGTTTTTCCTGTCTTTAGGCAGAACCGAACACCATACCTCTTTGTGTACTTTGGTCCGGCCTTTGATTTCGGCCACAATCATTCCTACGATACCCCCTCTGAAGGTGGCAGCGAGTGAGAAGAACTTCTTGTTGGAGGTGATGTCTTGATACCATGAGTCTGGGTACCTCAAGTCAAACGAAAGTTACACACTTATACACGGTTTCTTTTTCTTTTTTCACAAATTCTGTGTGGAAATGTCCAACAACAGCACAAAGAGTGTGAGATCTTACTCGATTGGGAACCAATCAGCACAGAGCTGCTTGACATTCTCTATGTCATCGTGGCAAAGGAAGCGGAGCTGGACTTCACTGAGAGCTGTGAGAGGCACCACGTCACTCATTCACACCTGTGGGAACAAACACAGAGCCCAGAGATTGTTCGTCAGTTTGGATCGTAGCAGGAAACATAACAGTTCACCAAATCCTGCATTCAGTAACGCATGGGATGGAGGCGACTAAACCACAGAGGAATAAGAGGCATTGGAAGGATGAGGATGTGTCTGTATATGTGAAAGGGATTTTTTTTCCCCCCAAAGCAACTTACAAGGATAAATTAAAATTAAATATCAGGTGCATTTTAGAAAACAATTTAAAATGGATATCTAAAAATCATGTGGGTTCTAGAGGGAGCAGACTTTTTGGTTGCTTAAATGCAGTTCGTGAGACAACAGGGGCATGTGGTGAGAGGACAAGGATGTGAAAGCAAAGAACAGTGGTTACTTTGTAATGAGCGGAGTTACTGTGGGCCTGTTAGGAGGGCGCTGCAGTAGGATGCTGCAGTAGTCAAGGCGACGAATGACCGAGGACAGTACCGGGAACTAGATGGCGTTCTTATGTCAGGAACGGCCTGATCTTTCTGATGTTGAATAAACACAACAGCAACAGAGGGCTCATAGAGAAGGTCAATGATGACACCCGAGCTCCTAGCAACGTGAGAAGGAATGAGTTACAATTAATGCTGTGCAGTTTACATAAATGACTTTAAAAGGATTGCATTGTGGGTGCATTTTGGGAAAAAGCAAGCTCTGTGATGCAGCTCATTTCAGTTGGAAAAAACAACCCCAAATCTGAAAAAAGATGAAATTAAAATGTGATGCACAGATTTTCAAATCTATCAAAAAGCACCAACAAGTATTGGGATTGAATGATGCTTTTGTTTGCTTTTTATTTGGATGATACAGATCAATGAAGCGAAAGAAGCCCTGGAAGTTAAAAGCCTTTATAATAAAAATATGGGTTAGCAATGAGTAAACAAAGGAATCTGAACAAGTAAAAGCCCTCAGTAACAGAATGAAGAGGCCTGCGTGTCCCTCACTCCACCATAAGCCCATACAAACACAAAAGTGGTAGTAACAAGTCTATAACCAACATTAGAACACAGGACTGACATGCTTTCTAAATACAAATCAAATTGTATTGACTTAGGATAAATAGCAAAGCCCTCTTAATTTGTTTAGATTTTGGCATCAAATTATTAAATGATATCATCTTACACCTTAAATAGATATGTTACCATAAGCATAAAAAGACCAGACTACCGTCAAAATATTAACAATGATCATATACTGTTGATTATTACTTTGGGCTTTATTGTAAAATCATATCTGCGACTCATTGTCTGGTACACGAATCAAGGAAAAGATTAGAGATTAAGGAAGTAAGTGACATTTTAAGAGGTCTGTAGTTGGCGCTTGTGATGGCTCAAAACTCATCCTAAGAATGTGAATTATCCATCGAACGTCGCAGAAATGTCAATAACAAATCCTGAAACTTTTCCTTTAATCTTTATCGTTGATATAAATATATACGTTTACCCACAGTTTATGTAACAGTAGAAGTGCTCCAGGAAAGAATCACGAGGAAACATAAGAAAACGCAGCAAACACGTTATTCTATCATTACCAACTCACAATAGCTTTCTGCAAGTTAGCATAAAGGTTAACCTTAGCTATCGTCGGCTAACGATCGGTTGCTGATCTAACGTACCTTGTTTCAACACTCAGCCCGAAGGAAAATCGAACAGGATTATTTTCCTTAAGTGTCCGTTTATACTATCGTTACTTCGGACACAGCATGATAACCAGGTTTATTCCCGACTCTCAAAGCTGTTTCATTATCGGGCCAAAGCTACACAAGCTGCTATGCTAGTTAACTCTTCAATAACAGCTGGATGTTTTCTTCCTGTTTGTAAGCGGCTACGCAATGACGTCACGTGGAGATTTCTTCTTCTACTTCAACGAAATTCAAATTCAAACATTTACACGTGCTGTACTGACACTCACTGGCTGTGAACGCATGGACAAAATGAATACGGTCCTAAAAAATATATATATATATTTGGGGAGAAAAAAAAAAATAAATAAATAAAAAAAAAAATATATATATATATACTGTATATATAACTAATCTTTGTTGCAGCTCCTCTAAACTACGATGCCTTTAACTTTATGGAAACATTCCTAACAAACAACCCTGACCCCAACATATTAAGGAATGTTTAGAAAATGTTCCCCAAATGTTTATTATATAAGGTTATAACAATATTAACCCTTAAAAAACATCCAGGAATCGTTCTTTTCATTCTCTCTTAAGACTACAGGGTCTTTAGCTTTTGCAAAACCCCAAGCCAACAATTGCAAGAGGTATCCTAAAGGATTCCGGACGAATCAGGATGATCAGGATTCAGGCTTAGAAAAAGGAAAATCCAGGTAATTTTCTAAAACTAAAAGTTATAAAATTAGAAAACCATACGATAAGAAAAGCTCAGTATAAAAATAATGACACCAACAAACAGCTCATACACTGTTAGATTTGTTGTATTGTTAAAAGCAATGTACATTCATATATAGATAGATAGTAATAGCTAAATAAATGTTATGAGTAGAATAAGATAGCTCAACGCTTAACAGTATTATAATGAATTTGATTAAAAACATTTTAATTCAACATAAGTTTTGAATTTTAAATTGGATTAAATCTATCCATATGGGGTTGATGTACAGGAATAATAATTCACCTGACAGGATTGTGTGGGTACATCTTACGAAAAAGATGTAATCCCTCCATCTTCCTTTGATTTTGAAAGATGAATAATTAATGAATGAAGAGCATTTGCTTTGTCACCTGCATCGCAGCCTGCGGGAACCTGCAGTAGGTGTGAAGAAAGATAATTAGAGGCTGATCTGTGTGAAAAAGATGATAAAAATAAAGCTATTAATAAGCAGCTCAGTCTCAGAGAGAGAGTTTAATTATACAGTATTCCTCCTCCTGTGACAACCCGAGATTAAATGAATCTGCTTTGCAGATAGATTTCTTTCATGTGTAGAAAGATAATTGTTAGATCTGTGATCTTTTTGTTATGAAGTGAGGTAAAATGTATTGTATATTGTTGTGAAGATTTTTTTATAAGTCGTTGTCCGCCTGAGGAAGTAAGGAATAGAAATGTGTTAAAAGGAGACATCAAAATTCATGAAGTGAGAGTGACCAGAGCCACCACACGTGTGAACAGTACAGTACAGTATTTTGCATTACTATTTATTGTCCCCAAAATCTAGTCAGCAAGGCCTAATCTTCCTTCAGGATAAGATATCATGTAAACAGTGAATATTTTGTCATATCAAGCCAATTTGCTCCTGTATCTGTGTAGGACAGCAAACAGTAAGTGCTTTCATATTTTGATAGTTACATCTGATGTTTGGTATTTTTTCCCCTACAATATACATCTTTTAAAATAAAAATCAAGGAAGAACCTCTCTCTTACTTACTTCAGTTACCAAAATTGTATCTGAAAGTAAAAAACTCTGTTCTTAATTGTGTATTCTGTTGTTAATTCTTCTGTATCCCTGCAAGTCGCTTTGGATAAAAATGTCTGCTAAATCCATTTATGTAATGAAAATAAGTCGCAAAGAATTAAAAAAAAAGGTCATTTTAATCGGAAGCTGGTTGATTTTGCAAAAAGAACCATGAAACTGTATCTTAAAATAACCATATTTTTCCATCATGTGTAACCCTAAATGGCCGCATTATCACATGTGTGCGCCATCTGTTGCCTTCTCAGCAACAATACACCCTGTATGTATGTGTGTGCGTGTGTGTGTGTGTGTGTGTATTATGTATTTACATACAAGACTTTTTAAAAAACATGGGCCAATAAGCTGAGGGTGTACCTCTTTGATTACGGAAATTTAAAGTGAGCTGCTTGGGTTCTCCAGATTGCTTTTTTCTTTTGTAACATTCTTGTGTACACACATTTGCCTCAGGAGACAAAAAGATTATAGAATAATCACATAAACGGACATGTAGAAAATAGAATACATCAATAGTCTCATGTTTTGTGTTACTGAAATATGATAAATCTTTCCTTTGGAAAAAAGATAAAGAAAGTTGTTTGGACATGAGAATATGTTGCTCTGAGAAAAAAGGCAATGTGTTGAAGACATGCTTTATATATATATTTTTTCACCTATATAGATTTATATCACTCCTTATCTTACCCTTAGAGACTCCAGCTGTCTTGGTGATCTTTTCTGTCCAGTTGTCTTTGACTTGTTGCCAATAGGTTTTGTTTCTTGAGCTGTTTATTTCTAGTACTTCTTACTTTTCCAGTCTTTTGTTTGCCCTATCCCATCTTATTTGAGATATTCCTCAAGCCTTTTGTGAATTAGTAAATTTAGTGTATCTCTCTCTCAAAATCCAAATTTTATGGAGGTGGGGTGGTTAGTACTGCCACCACACGGCCAGAAGGTTCCCAGTTTTTACATGGGTAAAAACATGGATAATAGGTTAACTGAACAGTAAATTGTCCCCAGGAGGGAATGTGAGTTTGTGTCTGTTTGTCTTTTAGTGGCACTGTGATGGAAAGGCGACTGCCGGGATAGGCTGTAGCCCCCCACGTGCTACTAGGAATGAACAACATAGATAATGGCTGGAAACAACAAGTTCTGGCAAAAGTAAAGAGTCCACAGGATCTCAGTACGTTTTTACAAAACACTAAAATTAGTTCAATTAATCAGAGACTTTCAGAGGTGCAAATTTGGTAGGTCTATGTCCGTATTTGTATGTATTCCAAAAAGTTTAATCAAGAGTAAGTTTAATCAGGGGCCAGATATTAAGGTTTCTCCCACATATCATGATCTTTAATTTAAAGTATTTCTGGGTTTGTTTTTTTACTCTCTAATCGTGTGTAATGTACGTAATCTGATTTTGAAATAAATAAAAAAATCTAAATTCAAAAAATGAATAATTTCTGTGCAGAAACATCAGATTCCAATTATAAACTGGGAATTGGTCAGAAATGGTAACGTTATCAAAGAGAGCCGCTGGGCCTCTTCAGCAACGAGCTGAACACCGAAATTAGGCAAAACAAACTCATACCTCATGCACAGTACACCTCCTCTTTTTGCTCCTCCCCAGCATGCTGTTGTCACATGCACCTGCAGGTACAAAAACCTCAGAGGAGACTTTGTATTAAAGTCTCAGGAATTGAAACAAAGGAGACTGTGTCAGTAGCAGGATTTCCCACTTCCCTCTCTGTTTCAAAAAAGGTATTTGCTTTTTCCTCTTTCTGTAAATTGCATTAGCGCAGACTATTTAAATCAATACTGCACAACAATGGATTTAATTCTTAGTCTGCTGTTAATACTAACAATATTTTTTTACGCCATAGCAGCTAACAAACTGAGAAACAGAGTGAGCAAGTTACAGCCCTATAATTATTGTTGTAGCTTCCACATTTGACAACTTTTGCCGAAGAGGCTCTTCCACAAAAACACCAATGTATAACCAGGGGCACAGGATGACATTCTCCTACTGGAGTAATGTTTTACAATGCTTCCCAATATACAAAGCCTCTGCCATGAGCAGTACTAAAATAAAATATGTACAAGAAATCTGGAACATCTAAAAAAAGAGGAACAGCCCTTTAATATAGGGCTTTATTGACCTTTATTTACCTGACTTTCACATTACGTCAAGTTAAATTTAAGCCATTCACTTTGTCTTTTTGTGTTCAGGGCCTGAAACACTAGACACAAAGATAGCACGTAAAAAAAATTTCACTTCAGAACACTGAAAAGACGTTTTCTGATAGTGGGGATAATAAGTTAAGTTTTAAGAGGCTTTTGTAGATGTAAGTGCATGCTATAGGTATTTTCCCCAAGAAACCTTTCCCAAGGTTTCCCAGAAAACAAACTTTTCCTTGATGTTATATATTCTTTTGAATAATGGTTTTTGATGTTGTGCTGTCTTAAGTTATTAGAGGTCGCTGGTGTTTTAATTCCTCTATTGCCTTTAATTGGAGAATGTCTAAAGATGTCTATTTCTTTCTACAACATTTGGGTTTGAGAAAGCAAATGTTTGGCAAGGAAATGTTTACGGACAAATGCCAGTTTTTGTTTTAGGGTCTTGAAAACCTTTTTTACTTTGAAACAAGTTTCCAAGAACACAAGTCCCGTTTCCAGTGGTGCAGCTGTAATTTCCATCTCCCATTCCCACAGTCAGGCTATGGTGAGGTAACCAAGGCAAGTCTATTTGTATAGCATATTTTGTGTACAGTACAAGGAAATCCAAAGTGCTATACGTGTTTAAAAGCCGAAAAAAGAGATAAAGAAAATAGATAAAAAGTTCAACAAATTAAAACAAACATTTATTAAATAGATTAAAAGTGAAGTGGAGATACAATACATGAAGCTGTGATATGCAAGGTTAAATAGAACTGTTTCGAGTTGAGGCCTGTCTCCTCTCTTCAGGAAGACTTAAGACTACCTGATGTTCCCAAAATCCGAGCTGGTTCATACGGCTCTAACGTGTCAGAAATGTACTTTGGCACTTGACCATAAAGCGATTTACACAAGCAGAGCTGTTTTAAAGTCTGTTCTCTGAGTGACAGGAAGCCCGTGCAGAAACCTGAGCAGTTGACTGATATGGTCGAATTTCCTGGTTCTGGTCAGAACTCGAGCAGCAGAATTCTGGATGTGCTGCAGCTTTCTCCACAGCTGGTTTCGAGAGCCCAGTGAGAAGGCCTTTATAGTAGTCTAACCTGCTAGAGAAAAATGCATGGATGACTCTTTATGGGTCTTGTTTATAGAGTATTCCTCTGTGTTGTGGGATAAGTGAGGACAGGACCAAAAAGCAAACGTAGAACCGTTGGATAAAGGAATAACAGTGATATATTGGTTCGAAGGGAGATTGGAGGTACCATGGATAATATAGGATCCAGGTGGATATCCCAAAAGTCCAAAGGGGGAGGTGTCTTTTGGGAGAAGGGCTTGATGGTTCCAGACAGGTGACCAATGACACTGCCTCTTTGTTTCTGTGGGCCACAGACAATGATTTCAGTTTTGTCTGAGTTAAGAGAAAGTTTTTCTGCATCCAAAAACTGATCTGTTCAATACAGCAACACATTAAATCAGCAGTCCGCCGTTGTTCTGCTGTCAGCGACAGATATCTCTGAGTGTCATCTGCATAGCTGTGGTTGGAGACATTATAGCTGTGTATTAGCTGGTCTAATGGAAGTAAAACAGATTGAACAAAAGGAGTCCCAGGACTGACCTCTGGGGAACCCCACAAGTCAAACCATTTCGGTCTGAGACACAGTTCCCAATCTGAACAAAGCAACACCTGTCCTCGAGGTAGGACTTGAACAGGTTTAAAGCCACAACACAAGGACACAGTTTTTGGAAATGATTAGGTTTGAAGATATGTCGTGTTCTAATGTTGATGATCTGTTGAACTCTTGCACATCAAGTGTCTTAAAGGTCTTGAATGCCATAGAGTTAGGAAGACTCGGTCGGGGCACGGAAAAGGGAGTGCCGGAGAGCTGAATGGAAAAGGATAAAGTCAAAGCTCCAGGTTCATTTTGAAATTTACAAAGAAAGTTGTTCAACCAGACATTGTCTTGAAAAAGAAAGCGTTATTTTTCTGAAATCATCAAAAACAGCTGTAACAACAGATTAACAAAATCTCAGTCTCTCTGCCCTTGGAATTAATTTCTACATCCAATGATATATGATATATAATAAATAATATCAAGATTAGAAGATTGTTTTATATCCATCCTTTTATATCCATCTTGAACGACATATACTCAAATGATGTAACAACCCCAAATGTGTGTGAGTATATTGCGACATATTCGGGGAATATTGTGCAAACCCCTCACCCCTTTGGTTTTGATGTGTTTCAGATACAGTGAGGTGTCCATCAGGACTGCATCAGCTGCATAAAGTCAAGATTATGAGAGGAAATAAAGTCACTAATTCAAAAGGATTTCTCTGCTAAAGGCCTGACATTTAGTAAAGCTAGTTTCAGTTAGTCAGTATTATGGGCTGGCTGTGGCTGACCTGTAGTGAATACATAGTTAGAAACATGTACAGAACGTCTCTGAAGGCTGATTAATCATTTTCTGTTACATATTAAAAGAGGGATGAAAAGAAGCCACTTCCATATCGGGCTTATCCTAGCCACGGGTACATGTAGTCCTGCAGCCTGGACATATCAGACAAAGCAACAATCAACAGCATCCACATTTGAAATAACAACACCCTTTGAAATGACCACATCTAGAGCGCGTCCTCTGGTGTTTGTTGCTTTTTTGTGTGTGTGCCTCTTCACATGCTTGGAAATTCGGAAATAAATTGGGAGATTATATGTATTATTTCCTTCCAAAAATGCATCTTCTCACACTCACAGATGCAATGGAAGATGGTGCCTTTATGAGTTTGACATTTCACACATATGTCTGGAATAGCTTGATTAAATTTGTTCAGCTTTACTCATTATCCAATTAGATTGTATTAATTTAAATCTACAGTTAATGGAGAGGCTCTGGGCCTTTGAGCATAATTGGCTCAGGTCACTGTCCAGGGCATCTTCCTGTAAGTCCTCACTCTATTACCTCCTGTTTGAGTCAGATGACTCTTTAGAATTAGTTGAAAATATATTAAAGAGTGTAGAGATCTGGCCTTTAGTAAGCTGAAGCTGCATAGTAAACCATTAAACAATGCTTCCATTTTTACCCAAGCTGTGTCTGGAGATGAAAACCACAGTTGAGCAGCTTTAAGCTGGCCTGTCCAGTAGCACCATATTAGGTTTGGTACCTTTAGCCCTCCTCTGTCATATGGTGTAAGTCGGAGTCTTGGGCGCCTGTTTTTCCAAATGAGCATTGTAAGAGTTTTTTTCATTAAATTCTCAGAGGCTTGAGAATATAAAATATAATCGTTGATTCGATATTTTTTAAACCTTTTCATAACCTGCTTTAATTTAGATCTTTCCCGCCTCTCACATTCCAAGTAGTTATATTTATACTTAAGTGACCACCCATCATTTAACATCAAAGATATCGTAAGTGCCACGCTGAGTGTTTAAATACAAATGGTGAAAAAGCATTTATATGAAATGTTTGAAGTGAGAACAATAACAGGCCTGGTAGCTCTATGACATTACATTGAACTCCAGAAATGGTCGATAAGATTCCCCCTGCTGTCATCTAGAATTTGTCAGCATTCCGACATCACGATGGTCTTATCCTACAAAGAGGAAGAGAGTAACAACACTCAAACACATGTCCATCATCATTGTCTTGAGGAAGCATGGAAGGACTCACAAGGGGATACTTTAGGGAGCCATGGCATTGGCTGGTGTTGGTCCACTGAAATTGATCAAATCCAAATTCAGCCCAGGAATTTTAAAGCACTTCATGTTCTTTAAGGAATCCAGGGGGACTTTGTCCCTGTCCAAACTTCCATAAATACCAATACAGGTAACTGGTTTGATGACCGTGTCATCTCCGTGATTAAATGGCCTGCTAACCTGCCTGACCTGAAGACATTTTTTAATCATCAAGAGGAGAACGAGCGACATCAGTCCCAAAAAAAGCTGGAGGTTACTATCCAAGCAACCCCGGGCCTCTATAATACCTCAGCATTTCCACATTGTATTCATGCAGAAATTCATGCAAAAGCAGCCCTAACAGAGTTGTTTTACTGTCGGTACACAGGCCTTTTTTTTAAAGGAAGCCAACATCAGTATTAAAACCCCTTATGTTATTTTTTAGTTTTCTGATATATGTAGTTTTTGGGGTTTTAGTTAGTTGTGAGCTAAGCTCATCAAAATGAAAAGAAATACATGCTTGGAATATGAGTTAATCGGTATAATAGAAGTTTCTCTTATACATGAACTCGTCAAAGATATTCTTATTTACTGATGAATTTGTCTGTGTAGAGTTGACTTCTTTGGGGGACGATGCGCGTGGTGTGCACTCTGGGGCTCCTCGTGGGCCTGCTGCATCTGTCTGCCTCTCTGCTGCTGGGAGCTTTCAACATCAAGTCCTACGGGGACAAAAAAGCCTCCAACACAACTCTCATGGAGATCATCAGCAAGGTATGGAGCGCCACTGTTCCTCTCACTATTTAATCTTTAACTCTGACAAAGTTTGTTGAAAAAAATGTGATTGTTTTTTTTAAAAAGTAAATAGCAAAGGAAAAATGAGAACCCAGAAGCAAATAAATCTCAAACATGAAGTAATTGATCTATTTCTAAACTTGGTCATTATTGTTTCTTGTCTATTTGTCGATGAAAATATAGTTTTTGTCTAATATCTCCCCGTAGATTTTCAAGCAACTTATCAAGGACTTTAAGGTTTCCGATTGTTTCATTTAGGATGTTTTAGGAAATGCAACAAAATCTTTAAGTAAATTCAAATTTGATCTTAAAAATAATCCTTAAACGCAGTGAAATATTCCCCTAATACATAGAATGAGGATGAGCAAGAAAATGTTAGTTGGTCAGACACAATTTTCCTGCAGAGAAAAAGTTGTTGCTTACTATTTCAGCAGTCTGACATGTGTTTTGGGGCATTTTACAGATTGTTCACCGCTATGACATCATTCTTATCCAGGAGGTCAGAGACAATGATCTATCAGCCACCAAAAAACTGATGGAGCATGTCAACAAGTTAGACTAACCACACACTTCACACAGAGCATACACAGTAATGCAGAAAGTCACATTTGTTGTGATTTGAAGAGAGTTAGGTTACATGTACACTTTAGTGAAAAATACATCATGCTTTTTTCCAATCTGTTCGTGTCTCCCCAGAGTTTCTCAACAGTTTAGTTACATCACCAGTGAGCCTCTGGGTCGTAGCACCTACAAGGAAAGATATCTCTTCCTATACAGGTAAATCAAGTGAAAATCAAATTAAATTGATAGCCGTAAATCGATGCAATTCTCCGTATAAGCGGGAACATTCAAGCTGAATTGAACCAGTTTTCCGGTTTGGTGGACTAAACTGAGCCAGACTGACTGGGTCAACCATGTTTGCTGCACAAAGTTAGGTATTTGGACCGCACAACAACAAAGATATGGCTCAATATTGCTTTTCCCCCACAGGGAAAAGACAGTGTCTGTGGCTAAAAACTACACCTACGATGATGGTTGTGAGCCCTGTGGAACAGACAGCTTCATTAGAGAGCCCTTTGTGGTCAAGTTCTCCTCCAAACAAACCGGTATTCTTTGGAAAAGTGGGGCATTTGTTCAGCCATCACAAGCCAGTGATGTAGAATCTTGTATAAAACACTCATTTACGACGGAGTCATAAAGCATGTTGTTGACCAGTGTCCTGAATTTTGGGGTTTTTTATTTTTCTAAACGTGACAATTTGTGTTGGTTATGTCAGTTTTTTTTACTGTCATGGTAAGTTTAAAAACCTTCAACCCTATCTTACTGGGTTTTTTTTTTGTTTTTTTTGCAGCTGTGAAAAACTTTACTCTGATCCCTCAGCACACCTCTCCAGATTTTGCTGTGCAAGAGTGTGACGCCCTGTATGATGTTGTAACCGATGTCCGCAATCGCTGGAAAACCAATGTGACTATACATTATCTAGTCAAAAGATCTTGTGAAACTGAAAGAGAAGAAGGGACTAGCCTGGTCGAATCACCTTCTTCCTCCCTCCACAGGACATTGTGCTGTTAGGTGACTTCAACACGGACTGTAGTTACGTTGCGGGCTCAGATTGGGAACAGATCCGCCTTTTTACCGACAAAAGTTTCCACTGGCTAATTCCAAATGAGGCCGACACCACGGTGTCTCACACTAACTGCGCTTATGACAGGTAGATCTGCACAGATTGCTGCACGTACACACCTACCCTCTCACTCTAAGCTCCACTTGTCCCCTTGTGTTTGCAGGATCGTGGTCACAACTGACATGATGAAGGGAGTGGTACATGGTAGTGCCAAAGTTTATGACTTCATGCAGGACCTGAAGCTCAGCCACAGTCTGGTAAAAACAATCAGTACTTGTCAGTACTTAGTTCTACAAGGTGTTAACAGTAAAGCCCCATAAAACAGTAGTAATGTTGTGTTGGCCTTCAGATGTTGAAGGGGTTCAAAAGGAACACTCCTGTGCAAACACCATTCCCCAGAAAAGGTTGGGCAGTAAAACCGTATCCCAGAAAAATTATTTTCATGGTTTTAATTGGTTTACTTTATTGTATTTAGAAAAATAAATTTGTTTAGAAATTGATTGGGTTTCCTTGGGAAGCAACAGACTACCTACCTACTTAGGTATCCACCTGTGTAGAAATGTCTGTGATTGAGTTTCTAATGGAATTCTATCTGAGAGCTAGGAGAGCTGCTGGAGTCAGTTAGGGTTTCCAAACTTTCTCACCCCTGAATCTTGTTGTGCTCTGTAGACGTTGAGACCAGGATTCTAATTCAAGAGTCTCAAGAAATACATTTCTTAATTCCATGGAATCTTCATAAGCAAAAAAAATGATAATAACCTTATACCTTTTGTACCTAATCATGAAACCCTTACCCATCAGTTATTCAGATTGCACAACCTTCCAGAAGGCTGTTGTATCTATATTCCATAAAGTGCCTCTCCCCCTTTTTTCGGTGAGCAAATTTAAGATTTGTTCGTATTTTCATTTACTTTTAAATGTTTGAAAGTTTGAAGAAAATGTTTTAAAAGAAATGTTCCCCAACTGTTCGGGTGGTTGCAGAACCTTTTCCTCTTGCACTTTCTGTTTTTCGGTGGAAACCAGAGTAGTCTGGGTTTACAAATTAAACAGCAATGATACAATGTGTGCTCTGTATCCTTCAGGCCCTGGCTGTTAGCGACCATTTCCCTGTTGAGGTGCAGCTAACCGGTTCAGCATCTTCTGCTTGATTCAAGATAATGAAAACTGTGATTTAATTCATTACTAAACTACAATAAGAACATTGCATCACACAAATGATTGAATAAACTATTTTTAAATGAACACAGTGTGAATGTTCCATGTTTTGTGCAGCACAAACTCATTTTGTGTGATGAGGAATCAAAATCTGTGGTGGGTGATTTTTATAAACTCTTCACACCGATAGGAGTATAAGCTCAGATCATAAATCAAAGTTTAATGCTAGAGTTTCACACACAGAAAGTGACAGAAGAAGTTTGTGAAGAAAAATGAGAAATCACAAATACTTTTTTCCCCCATTGTGGGCCACTTCAACACACCATAGGTCCAATAAGCTGTTATGGTCCTTAAATGTAGAGTCAACGCAGGCACTTGCAGGTAAAAGGCTCATCTGTGACTACAATTAACTATAAAATAACCAATAATTTTCCTCACAAGAGGAAAGATTGAATAGTAATTTCATGACATGACATTTTTCAGAAAGGAAGTGTGAAAGTGAAGAAGAAAAAAAAAAAGCTACATTAATGACGTATTTCTACACATAATGAATGGCTCAGTTATTGTGTGTCACTATTTACACACATTTTAGGATGCAAAGCCAGTTTGGCTTTCACTGACTGCAACTGTTTGGTGACACTGATGTTTTCAGAGAGTCTCTGATGTGATTGGACAGGAGTGTTCCCAATCTAAGCCTTCTTCTTTTTCAGCATCTCTAGATACATGCGCAGGGACTTCTGGATGGAGTCTTTGGTGATGAAGCTGACAAAGTTTTGGATGTCAGCATCTCTGTTTGATGTGAGTTTGTCTATCGTCGGCTTCCTCATCATGGACTTGGTGATCTGTCTGGCATGCTCTGCAATGTGAAGAGATGAAGGGTTAGCTTACAGTTTTTAAAGAGTTGCTACAAGACCGATGCAACTTAAGCCCATCTGAGAGGATATGAATAGGAATAAACCAAAAAAAAAAAAGGAGGAAAACATGTCTCTCCTGCAACTATGACAGTTCTAACACAAAGCCCTCTGTGCTATAGAGGTGAGGAGTTTAAAAGTATGACATACCTGGAATTGCCAGCCACTTGCTCATGGTCTGCGTGGCTGTGGTGAGAACCTGGTCCTCAGGTACCAACTGGTCCACCAGTCCTATCCTCTGGGCCTCGGCAGGGTTGTAGAGCAGCCCCAGCTCCAGCGCCAACTCTGTGTGTCTGTGACCCACCGTGTTGGCCATGGTGTCCTTAAACCTGCAGAGAGTTTAGCAATTATGGAAGGACACGGATTCACGTCATCGTTGACCTGACCGTATCCCCACGGTTGCTATGCTTTACCAGAAAGGCGCCACAATGCCCAGCTGCGTCTCATTCAAACCGATGGTGTAACGGGGGTTGTCTGCCAT